ATTGAGGTTTTATTATTACAATCTTTTTCCTTTTTTTTTTTTTTTTTTTGTGGTACCAAGGATTGAACTCAGGGCCTTGTGCATGCTAGGCGAGTACTCCACCACCGAGATACATCCCCACACCACCACAAACATTTCACTAATCAATCAGCTCTTCAAGGTTGTCTACTATTCTATTGTCTGGAAACTCCATAGGTTATTTCATGAAGGGGATTTCCTTGCATGTGGTCATTCTCTGTTTAAGTCAATTCATCAGTGGACTGACACGCACAGCATTTCTTTTAAAAGTCCTTTTGCAATAACTTCTCTTTCACTAGGTTATTTACCAATATTTTCTCCACAATTAAAGGGGTAACAGGACTCATTCCTCATTACTACATGAGATTACTGATATTTCCATGTTGAAATCACTGATACATCCTCTAAAGTGCCCCATTCTGCCTACCCCAACTCCAAAGTGTGACAGAGAGCTTGTGTCGTCACTCAGGCGAATCCTATGCAACCTTTATGAAGCCACATAGGAGGAATCGGGTCTTTCAAGACTCATTTCTTCCCCAAAGTTATGCCCAGCACACGCAGTGTTCTACCTATAGTTTCTGAGGAGGAAACCAGGGAACCAGGCACAGAATCTAGGTCAACATTCCTTCCTGCCTCCCACCCCAGTCACAGGGACCACTCCTCTAAAGGATGAACACCCTAAGCCAAGCACCGCAGCTACAATGCCACACAAGCAAGACACAGAGACAAAAATAAATTACAGGGAAGAGAGACAAGAGAGGAGCTGTGGTGGGCTTCCGTTTGTCTCCTCTGAAACTCTCATGGGCCCCACTGTGGGGTACAAAGAGGGTGGAAACTTAGTCAACCCTGCTGTTTACAGGTGGGGACTTCTGGAGGGGTTAGGTTTAGAGGGGGCTCTTGGATGGAGTCCCCATTAAGTCCTGGTAGCATAAGATAGAGAGCGTGTACACATATGTTTCCTATCTCTCATCATGTGATGCCCTGTACTGCCTTGGGACTGTTCCAGCAAGAAGGCCATCAGCAGATGCACCCTCTCAGCATTGAATCTCCACAGCTGTGAGCCAAAATAAACCCTTTCTCTTTACAAAGTACCCACCTTCAGGTATTTTGTTATAATAATGAAAAATTGATTGATACAAGAGGAAGTTCATTTTCCATGGTGAAATCTCTACAGTTTTTCACACAGAGTGGAGAAAACAGAGATAAAATGATAGCACCATTCAGAGATGAAATGCTAGAACCATATCACCAGAAAAAGTTAGTTTTTGAATAATCCTTCTTCAATTGTTTCATTCTGGACTACAGACTGGCTGAAAGTTCTGCATCAGTGTTAAAGGTCTTGACTGCACTGTATGATGTAAAAGATGATCCTGTTCTTATGAAACATAGATTGAAATATTCAGGGGCAAAGGGGATGACGTACAAGAGAGAAAGGAGGGAAAAGGAAAATGCAGCAAATACTAACAACCAGTGAATCTGGATATAGGGATCTGGAAGATTTTAGTACTAGGCTCAAAATTTTGAAATGTTTCTGTGAAACTTCACCTTGATTGGCCTGGGGACTGGTGGAGCACACTTGCAGGTGTGTCTGGGTGGGTCATGCAGGGTGGCTTTGGGGCCTGTGTCTGGTCTTTGCCCCTCTGCTCTTCTTCCTGGTTGTCATGAACTAACAGCTTTATAAACTCTGTTACGTATTACATCTCGATGACAAGGAAGTTGTCTACTATGGTTCTCTTCATATGAAATTATTTTAAACCCAAACAAAAACTTTAAAACCCAGTATGTACATAAGGATTAGCTTATTCTTTTTTCTAAGTCTTTGGCTTTGAAGGCCTTGGGTGTATTCATAAAACAATAGCTGGATGAACGAAGGGCAGGTTAAGAAAAATCCGGAAGGGAATATCCTCCCGCTCCACTGGAAAGCTTGCCTATTTCCTATATTTCTGAGTCACTTGGGGAGCAGGTATGTCGGCTCATTGGTCTTGGGACTCCTGCTGCTGTTTGCCCCTGGCATGCAGGTGTGTCCCTGTCCACCTTGGCAAAGGGTGGCAGACTGCCAAGAGAGGGCAGGTGTGGACTTTCTTCACTAGACCCAGGGAAACAGGGATGGGCAGGACAGTCCTGCTGAGACAATCGCCCAGTTTCAGCAAGCAGCTGCCGGGACACTGAGTGCCCATTGTGCTAGTCAATCATCTGTCCCACCAGAAAGGGGCGGGTGATGTGGTAGCAAGGGTCTTCCTGACTGCGTTGCAGGCCTCGATTTTTTTTGGAAGCTTCGGCTGTACATTGTTGGCTTCCAGCAGTACAAGTCCACTTACAGCAGCAACATTTTGCTCTTAAATGACATCAATTGTTACAGATGAGCTAGGTTCCACATAGCACCAAGTGATTACTGCAGCTAATTCCATCTATACATATGATAAAATACTCCGTATCTACCCACAATCCTGTAATAAACCCCAAACAAACACAATAAAGACAGGCTGATCACAACAGTGTTCTAGACAGAGAGAACAAGCCAGCTCAGGAAGGCTCTCCTGGTCTGTCACAGTCACACAGGGGACACTGGTCAGATTGCTTCCTTCCTGTGGCCCAGGCCAGCGACTAGTCCAGAACTACCGTGCTTTCTCAGATTCCTGCCAAAAGCTTCAAAGACGCACCTATGGTACTGAGCTGTGAAAGTCAGGTTCCCTTTGGGAAAGGCAGGAGAGTCCCACTGGAGAATGTTCTTGAAATTCACTGAATTCATCCTGACATTTTCAGGAGGTGGCACGGTCCCCAATGCTGAAATAAATAAATAAATAAAAATAAAGGAAAACATCTGCAACTATTTTTCCTCTAAAAGGTTTCCCAAGAAACTGACCACATCCACCACCTGGGTTTCCTTCACAGCTCTGTATCACTCACATGGGTGGACAAGGACACATTCACTGATCAGGCTGCATTTGATTGGAAGAGCTATTAAGGAAGATTTCAGGGTAAAGGACAGGTGAACAGCAAGCGTGAAGTAGGGACAGGTGATGGTGACCGGAATGCGACTGGTGGTAGGAAATGCAACAGGGTTGGGGTAGGGCAGGGCCAGTGGATTTCAGATGCATTTCCAGAGACACACTCTTGGTTTAGTGACCAGTTTGAGGTGGGGAATTTGAGGTTGCTGTCTATTTCTGGCTTAAGCACCTGGTACTCCATTTAGAGTGGGCAGGAAACCCCAGTCCCATTTTAGCTGCCTTAGAGATGCTGGAGAAATGTCCCACATAGGGAGACATTAGGACAGAACTGGACCAATGATCAAAGAGGTCACACAAAAGGCAGATCTGATCTACAAAAATTATTTTTAAGTTTTAAACAGAAAATTATAAACAAAAGCAGAAAAAAGACTATTATCTCATAATCACCAATATTGCCCTACTGGTACCAAAACACATCGGTGAAAAAGTCACGGGTCTGTTTAATGCCTGGCTGCTGCAGGACCCCGCACAGCACAGGAAAAGGAGAGAAGCAGGCGCGGTCATGAAGGTAGCCACAGCGGGATCTGGTAGAGGAAGGTGCTAAGGGCCTAGGAGGTAGGGAGGGGAAGACCAGAGCGATCCGAGCACTTTTCACACTACAGGAAGCCTTGGGGGCGCACAGGAAAGGGGTTTTTTTTGCATCTCGAACTTTATAATCCGTAGAGTTGGGTCGCTGAGGGGCAGGATCTAGATTCCAGGGGTGTGGGGAACTGGACACAGCGATGGAGACCGTTCTGCCCGTGGTCCCGCGGTGAAGCGAATGCGTACGGAAAGGGGCGCTCTCCGGGGAGGATCTGGGGTGTGTGTGTGTGTGGCGGGCCCTCCTCCACCGGACTGCAGAAGAGTCTGAAGCAGTCGAGCTGGGCGCGGAAAACGACTTTTGTTATACCTCGCCGGGAATCCCCCACCCCTTGAGTTTGCTGGCTAGCCAGCACGTAATCCGGGTGCCCCGGGGTGGGGTTCCTGCTCCGCGCGGAATCAAGCAGTGCGGAATCTCTTCTTCGAGGCCCGACACCGAACACCGTCTCTTTCGGGGTGCAATCAGAGACGCATTCCCGGGGATCACAGCCCAACGCGGGTGGCAAAGTGCTGATAGCTGCGCCGCCCAGTTCCCCAAAGCGCCAGGGGGAGGCTCCCCTCGGGCACGCGCAGCGCGCACACCAGCCCTCCCGGGGGCCCCGGCTCACCTGACGCCAGCAGGCATCCGCCCAGCCAGCACGCGAAGCTCCGCGCCATGGCCCGGAGGGCGCTGAGGGCGCACCGGCACACACGCCCCGGGCCGCCAGCGCCAGCCCTGGCTGCGCCCGCTTCCGGGAACGCGCAGGCCGGGGTGAGGCGGAGCGAGCTCAGGGCTCCTCCCCGGCAGCCCGCAGCCCAGCCCAGCCCAGCGCCGAGCTCCCGGCGCCTCACCCGAGGCCCAGGTCAGGAGCCTGGCGGGGGTGATCAATTGAGGAGGCCCCCAGCTAAATAAATACACAGACACTCCAGCTCAGGGCTCAGTCGAGACGGTGGGATTACGGGTGGTAGTTATTTTTCTTTCTGCCAGTGTCCCTCCTGTTTTCTCCTCAGGAGGGTCACGTCCCTTCTGATGTCCTCTCCTCTCCTAGGTGAGTGTTAAAGCCCCAAGCTGCACGTGCAATTGGAGGGGGTCTTTAGGCTTCCCCCAGAAAAACAACACAAAACCAAGTTATTTATCTCGAAGTGACTTCTTTCTTGAGACTGAACAGAAAGGTTTAATTTCCTCTTTCCAAACTCGCATAGTGATGAGTTTGGAAATTCCAAGTGTGTGTGTGTGTGTGTGTGTGTGTGTGTGTGTGTGTGTATCCCTGCTCACGTCCTTGCTGGAACGCATCTGGTGAACATGCGCAAGGGCACCACATCTGCAGCCCATTGGACAGTTAGGGGGAGCAGGTACAATCCCAAAATGCTACAGATCTGTTACACACACACACACACTGCAATGCGAAACGACTCTTGGACCACACCAAGTTTGTATTATACAGTAGTCGTGTATAAGCAATATACAAATTCCAACCATTATACAAAAATGTTAAAAAATAAGTGCACATGCACACAGCCACAGAGCATTTATCTCAAAAGATTACCCTGGAGATTTTCAAAACACAACAGAGGGAAGGACAGAGGAATTATATCAGTTATCTATTCAAGGTGTTCATGGTTACACTTGTGTAACTGTTGCTTTTCCCTTTTTGAATTTTCTTTTATTTCCCTTCCCCAGTGTGTGTGTGGGGTGTCTAAGAAACTAGCTTTTGGGGGTGAGGAAGAGAGAGAGGAGGATCCTACACCTTTCATCCACTGGAGGAGCCTAGCTGTGGGCAACATTTCTAAATATTCCTGTATATTTTCTCCTATTTTTCCAAGATTTGTAAGATCATGGTGAATGCCTGGTACAGTCTCCTTATTTCAAGAACAAAGAAGCTGAGGCTCAGAGAGGCTAAGCCAAGGCACCCAGGGTCACACAGTGAAATATCAGCAGTCCACATACTGTCTGGTATACAACATTTTAGAACCTCACTTCTTTCTCCAGAGTCACAGCAACTGTATTTCCACACAGGGCAGGTGGAACCAGCATGTGGAACACTTTTAAAACGGCCAAATGGGATCTTTTAAGGCTTGCCCTTGTTTTTTATGTATCTGCCTTGTTTCCGGCCTGCTTTATTGCTCATTCCTGCAGCCTCTTGGGTAAAAGGCTCTCTATGTGCTAAACACTGCCCATAGCTCCTGTGTGACCATTTTCCTCTTCTTTCCCTCCTTCCATCCTCAATTTAATTATTTCTCAAAGCACCTTTTAAAACCCAGCAGGGCCTTTACCCTAGGAAACCAGATGCACGATCATCAGACATGTGTGAGCATCAAGGGAGTAGAAGGGACAAGCGCCTACAAAAGGCAACACTCTGAACTTATAAACAGTGCAACGATGATGCTATCTATGTTTCCCGCAGTGGGAATTTGCATAGACGAAGTCACTGAAGAACTGGGCACTCTACAGTTCCCTACTTCCCTACTCCATCCCTCACTGGACACCTGCAGACCACAGGGCTGCAGATTAGGGCTCTCAGTTCAGGTTACCAACGTAATTTGGAGTCATCTCATGATATAACCATCCCTGACATCGTCCACATCAGAACTACCAGTGTCACTCTCATCCGAGAGATCATCTCCGGTCCACAGACACTTGGGAGGAAGGCTGGGGAAGAGCACCTGTAGCTTTTCCCCACCAGCCACCAGAAGGCTCGATTCTGTCTCCTGGGAACTCTCTTCTAGGTTGACCGTCTCCTCTGGAGGAGTTAACACCAGCGAGGCTTCTTCGGAGTCTTCTGGGTCATCATGGAGAACTCTCAAAAACACAGAACTTAAATTCACATTGAAGGTAATTTTGCCCCCTGACCCCTCAGTGGAGTTGCTGTCATTGTCCCCGAAAGAGAGATCCTGGGGCAGACCTCCTGTCCTCTCACAGGACTCACTTGTGCATTCCCTCTGCCCTGGGCTGGGCCCTAGCGCTGCAGGGAGCCAGGGCTGGGGCTGGGGCTGAGTCTCCTCCTCAGGCTCCTCTGACTCCTCATCAGCTGAGTCTTCCGGATGGGAGGCTTGGGAGGTAGCTGAGGAGGTGGGGATCTGGCTCAGAAGCCGGCTCGTCAGGCCATGCATGGTGTAACCACCCTCACTCGTCCTGGGGGATGCCTCATTTTCGCTGTCACTTTCATCATCGTAATTATAATCCCACACTTTCTTCTTTCTGTTGATGTAACAGACCTCCACGGTATTCACGTCTTCCAACAGTGGTAGGTCAGGAACAGTCCAGGGTACAAAGTTTTTAAAAATCTGAGGGTGGGAGAAGAAAGAGAGATTGTATCACTTGTGTTTGCTGTTTATTTTTCACATAATAAAACTCAGAACTCATTGCACAACGATACGCATGTTGATGATGATAACAAAAATAGTAATACAAGAGCTGGCCGTTATACCATGCTGGCTAGTGGCCAGGCACTGCTCTTAGCACTGCACATATACAGCTGGCCTCTGAACCCCCCGAGGCTGAAGTCCTTTACAGATAATATCACCAGAGTCCTCCCCGTATAGACCAGGCTGTCCAGTTTGATACAACTTCTCTTCCCTTACTCTGCCAATACCCAGCCTTGGGGTCAATTTTTCTACTGGGTTATTAAGCTTTTTTCTTAGTCATAGGAGTTCTTTATACAGCTCTATAATGTGTACACTAATTATATGTTAATTATTTTCATACATATGGTTCCCCTAGTCTGTGGCTTATCACATTATTCTCTTCATGATGACATTTGATGAAAAGAAATTCCAAATTTTTAATATAAGAAGAGTTACCAATTCCTTTATAGTGTTTGATTTTTGTGTCTGAGACAGCCTTCCTTTCCCTCAAGTGCTGCAGAATCAGTCATACAGAGATTCCTCAACTTACGGTGAGGATATCCCAAAAAATGTATAGTAAGCTAAAAATACTACAAATTAAAATCACGTAATATCAAGAACATTATAGCCTAACCTAAACTACCATAAACATGCTCAGGACACTTACATCATCCTATATTTGGGCAAGATCATCTAACATAAAGCCCATGTTATGATAAAGCATTAAATATCTCACATAATTCAAAATATAAAGTATGGTTTCTACTAAATACATGTAATTTTTGCACTACTACCAAGTTGAAAAATTGTAAGTGGAACCATTGTTGAGGACCATTTGTCTTGCCTTCTAAAATTTTAAAGTCTTGCCCTTCACATTATAATCTTTAATCTACCTGAAACTAGCTTTCATGTGTGGTGTGAGGTAGGGATACTCTGCCATTTCCCCTAGTATATACAACATTTACTGACTAGCTCACCTTTTCCCCACCAATTTGCAAGACTCGCTGTTGTTTTTCATACACGTGGGTGGGTATCTAGGCTTCCCATTTGACAAGGTCTTTGTTAACATGATTCGATAATTTTCCCCACATGGAGCTTGTACATCATCTGTTAAGACTTTTTCCTTATATGCTTTAACAATATTTTTGTTATTATTGTAATTGCATTTTTTAAACTATTATAAATAGCATTCAGTTTATGTAAAATTCAAAACCAGGCCAAACTAATCTCTGCTGTTTGTAATCAGGACAGTGGTTACCCTTGGAGAGTGTTCGTGCTTGAAAGGTGTTCTGGAGGAGCCAGCCCTGCTTTTGTTCATCAAGACATGAATTACGGGTGGGTTCAGGGCGGGAGACTGACTGAACTTTACACTTAGGATTTATGTACTTTACTTCTTGGAAGTTGAAAAGCAGTTGCAGGCGCCTCCGACTCCTCATCGGCTGGGTCTTCCAGATGCTTACTTTCTAACTGAATGCTACTGATTTTTTTGGAATGACCTTGCTAATCTATTAATCCCAATAACTTATCTGTAGAGTCATGTGAATTCTTTATTTAGACAACTGTATCATCAATAAATAATCATTGGCTCTGCCTCATCTCAAACTTTAAGCTCCACGAGGGCAGGATTTTTTCTTTGTTTTGTTCACGTCTGTATCCATAATACCTAGATCATGTTGACATATGCTAGATGCTCAATAGATACTTGTTAAATTAAAAACAGAAAATACACCATTTAAAAATTTTAACATCTATTCTTGATTTAAAATATAGATAAACACACTCGGCCCAGACTGTCCTATTTTCCTCTCCCTAGAGTTTTCAAATGCAGGTAATAATTTTTAATGGAGAAATACTAAGAGACACAGGAGGACAACACCGTTAAGTATAACTGTGGAGGGATCTTTAATTACATGGTTGTTGGAAAATTAGAGTAAGGTGAATGAGTTCGGACATTAAAAAATAAAATATTTCTGAATAAACTATTACAAGTAACACAAAAGGAACACAATGGCGGAGGGAAAATGATAATTGACGGCAAAAACAATTGGGTCAAAAGACAAGCATTTTAGAAGGATGCATGGCCGCTAGCTAGACTCTTGTAAAGACTCTCATGACAACCAAAGAAGAAACGAAAACAAGAAAATGATCGTTATTGTTGATAATGAAAATAACACAAATGGGAGCAACTATGAATTGTTATGTATGTGGCAATGAACAAAAGTAGTAAAAATGATTCACCAATGTCAGTAAGGCGCTGGAGAGTTATAGGCATCACTGCTGGCTTTATAAATCACTTATGATAGTCTTCTGCAAGGTAAATTATGTTGTGTGTATGTGAAGTAATCCAAAAATAAAAAGACAATCCATATAAAAATTTCCATCACACTATTCAGAATGGCAAAAGAAGAAATGAAAAAGAAATCAACCTAAATATCTTCTAGCTTTGGAATTGTTAAATCATACATTAATAATAACGAAATTCTATGTAATCATTAGAAATAATAGTTGAACAAAGAGTAAAGAGAAAAGATAAAATTCACAGATACATTTATAACTGAAAAATGTTTTCAGGAATGAAAAGGGAGCCAGCCTGTAAAAACTCTGGTGAAACATGAAAATTTCAGAACGTGAAATTTTCTGTGAAAACATTTAAAGTCAAATTTGAAAAAATAAAGACAGAAAGTTTTAAAAAAAACTACATACCAAGGCTTTGGGAAAATTAGTGTGTAAGGACACATATCCACTCTGTCTCAGTGCATAGACGATTGATATGGCCACTGCTACTATAAAAAAAATAGTAAGTAGGGCTATTTTTAGAGATTCTGATGTCCCTGTTGATGAGAAAATAAATGAATTTATTTCAAAAGAAGTCCAATAAGCAACCAGAGGTAGAAATAAATGCACATTGCTTTGGTGTTACAAGATGATATTGAAGAAATACAAGTTTGGGGGAAAAGAACAGTTTTAGATATCTGTATATTCTTACTTCTTTAGAGCAGAGTTGTTATTATGTCAATGATTCTGGTGCCCAATATAGGGCCCCAGAGATGTTACCACTTCCACAGGAGGAGTTACACCACACACCAGCACCAGCCTGTGTGTCCATCAACTGGGTCACCTCCTCAGAAGGACACTGGGGAGTCCTTCCTGGAGCTGAGAGCCTGCCTCAGGACTGGCTGAAGACTCTTAGTGTATTCTGAGCTGGTTTATTTGGACATCCTCTTTCTCACATCATTTGTTTCCTGGCATTCCCTCCACTCCTCCATTATCTAAATTTGCCTCTTTTTTTTTTTCGGACCATTGCAATCTTGTCCCTTTTATTATTTTTTATTTAATTTTACTTTCTCAAAAGACCCCAAAAGTAAGAGGTACTCTTCTCCCCAACCTAACAGCATGACAGGGTCAGGGTGGAACTCCCCTCCATATGCAAAACGGAAACCAATCCAAAACATAATTCCTGTTGATTAGCACAGGAAATTGCAATTCTGGGGAGAGGAGGTACCCCCACTAAAAAAACAAATCAGCAACAATAACAAAAAAACCCAAACCGAACCAAGCCAAACCAAGTACACTGGTACTTCTGTTCATGAACTCAAGTCTCTCCATAATTCAGGTCACAAATCAAATTGCCTGAGAACTGAATCAAATTCAATGGTTAGGTTTAATGTTGACCACATGGGGAAATTTGATCCAATTCTTGTCCAATTCAGTTTGCAACCAGACATATTGAGCTTTGCAAAATAAAAAAAAATTTGTTTATAATCTATTAGGCAATACAGTAGTCACTAGCTATGGTCATTTAAATTTAAATGATCAATACGAAACAGAATTAAAAGCCAGTTTTTCATCCCAGTATCCATAAATCGAATGTCCATATGAGGTTCATATTAGCATGTGCTGCAGGCAGGAAGGTGTGGAGAAGGGAGAGCCTGCAATAAAAAGCTGAGGCTACTCAAGGCTGGCCTCAGATCCAAAATCTGGGCTCAGCTTTTTAAGTCCTGCACCTCTAGAGTCCTCCATCCTCTCTGATCCACAGTTACTATTCTTCCTTTGCTTAGTTTACAACTATCCTATCATGCCAGCCCACTCCTACCTCAGGGCCTTTGCATTTGCTGGATTGTTGCTCTAGAACTCTCTCCCCTGATATAGCAGCAAGACTAACTCTCTCCTGTATTCCTTTTCTACTGTCTTGGGATTAAATAACAACAAAGTCGATGGCACAAAACTACACAGATCTATTGTTTTTGGATTCTGGAGGTCAGAAATCCAAAACGGTTCTCACTAAGGTAAAGTCAAGATGTTAGCAGGATGCATTCCTCCTGGAGGCTCCAGTGGAAAGTCCACTTCCTCCCTCACCTTTCTCTCCTTTCGAGGCCTCTTTCATTCCTGGGCTCATGGCCTCTCTTTGATTTCAAAGCTAGTCTTTTAGCCTGTCTTGATCCTCAGCCTTTGACCTCTGCTCCTGTGGCACTGCTCATTCTCTGACTCTTAAGCCCTCAGTGTCTCTCTCCTTTCTAAGGATCCATGTGCTTACCTGGGGCCCACTTGGGTGGCTCAGGCTCATTTTCCCCAAGTCAAGATCCTTATTTGAATCACACCCACCAAGTCCCTCGGCTACATTCACATATCCAGGATGGGAGGTCATTACTCTACCTACCACACCTCCCTTGGCTTCCCTTGAATGCCACCTCTCGAAAGCCTTCTGTGGCCATCAGTGGCCCTGCCCATGTCCCCTTGATCTGTCAGTGACAGACCCTGTGCTACTGTGCACATCCGTGACACATCTGAGCTGCAACTTGTCTAAGGTACTGCCCTTGGCCAGAGCAGCGCAGCCCACCTGGGGGCTGTGCCACATGGCACCACTAACGGACCGGTGAGGATCCAGTTCATGCTCAGAGAATCTCCAGGGCTCAGGCTCTGCTGAGACCACACATTAGCTTCATTCCTCTCTTCCTGGTCCCTGTTTGTTCCTTCATTCCCCATTCAACTTGAGGTCCCCCTCAGCAATGATGAATCAGACTTGAACAAGATTTCTCATCCGAGGTTCTGCTTCTGGGGAATCTGAACCAAGACAGGGCCCTATTTAAAACAGGGGACCTATCCCCACCAGCTAGCTTGTCCTTCATTTCCCTCCCTGCATGACTTTTCTCCCTAGTGTCGATGGTCACTTCACATACTATCCATTGCAATTTTTAAACCTTATTATTCCAGTTCCTACTGCAACATAGGTGCCTAAGTCAGGGATTTTTATTTATTTTCTTCATTGTTGTCTTCCCAGTATTAGGAGGGAAATTGGGCTTGCAATACAGCTCTTTGTTAGATGAATGAACAGACCTTTTCTCTGGGGCCTTACTAAAGAGACAATCAATTAATTTTTGGGCTTCAAAGGGAAAGCATTTTGTCAGACCTCTAAGATAAGATCCCTGCTACCCCTCATCAGTTTGCCCTGAGACTGCAGTGTTTACTGCTGAGTCTAAGTTAATGCTGGCTTCCAGCTGATGGCCCTGATGTCCACTCAGCATCACAGCTGCCTGGACATAGAGTTTGACTACTTAGGGGTAGTTTGGAAGGCAAAGAGGCAAAGAGAGATCTATGTCATCTGAACTATTTTAATACTGATTTTCAGGAAGACTCTACATAGTGAGGGATCCATGCACTGGAACCATCTTGGATAATGACAGGAGAATGGAGCTGACTTAATGTGCAGAACAATGTACAAGCCAAGTAAGGTCAGACTGACCCAACACCATGTTCCTGCATTGCTGTGCCTTTGCAGGTGGATCACAAATGTCCAGGTACAAAGGGCATCCATGTAATGCACGTCCACTTCTCAAGGACTGTCAGCCACCCCAGGAGCAACTCGGGGTGTCAGGAGACCCTCACCTGCCTGTTTTGTTCCTAATTGGAATTATTTTATGTATGGAAGAACACGGTTTGTACAGAAGATCACGATATGACACAAAATGACATGTATTTGGTCTTCGTCACTGGCTCCAGCACAGAGCTGCAGAGTGCCATAGAATTTCCTGACAGACAGCAGTGTGGTCTTCTAGTTCCAAACTCCCACATAGGAATTATTATGGATGGAAGTTCCCTCCAGAACTTTAACTGTCAATGTGACCAGTATTGACAGGTAGGACTTTAAGAGGTGTCGGGGATGCAGGGGGACTGCTCTTGTTACTGCATTAATGCCATTATTATGGGAATGCCTTTGACACTGTGGAAGTGGCTTTGTTATAAAAGCGCCCCACCTCCTGCTCTCAGCACATAATGCTTCCATTGTGCCATGACGCAGCAAGCAGACCTTTCCATCTTGGACTTGCCAGCTTCCAGAACTGTAAGCAAGAAACCTGTGTTCTTTGTAAGTTACCCAGTCTCAGGTATTGTGTTATGGCTACAGAAAATGGACTCAGAGACCACATCTGAGTTGATGGGAAGGATGTGCCTCCTGGTGGCAAAATGCAGCTCAGTGGTTTCTGGATGAGGGCTGATTGATAGAAAAAACAAACCACAAGATTCGAGGGGTTCTGATTCTTGGTCATAGTGTGAGAGATGAAGTGAACTGTCGGACATCTCCTTGAAGTCAGAGAACTGGTGTTGGAACCTAATTATGTAAGAGCTAAGGCATAAAGATTCGGTATATGATGTTAGGTTTCCCTTATTTAACGAATGTCATAAAAATACCTCAAGTGAAAACTTGACATACTTTTCCTTTAGCATCAGTGTGTGCACCACTGGGCTTTGAGGCTCACCCAAGGATAAAGTGACACTGTGCTGTGGCTACAGCTAACCCTAAGCACCACAAGTCCAGGGACTCGGGGGTGATTCCACAAATAACTACACCACTTAAAATTCCTTTCCTTCTACATCTGATCTGAGTTTTACTCTGCTCAATCAGAGACTTCCACTGAGGTGGGGAAGCTGAGAAGGCCTTCTCTGAGGGAGACTTTGCTTTTTGGTAACCCAGCAGAGATCCAGTTACTTCCCAGGTAACAGCGGGCAGAGAAAGCACCTAAGCTTGCAGTTTCTCACTGCACATTACTGCAACTGTTTTACTGTTTTGCTGTCTTTGCAAGCACTGGGCTTTCTGTCTTCCTCAGTGACTGTCTCATCTACATGCCAAGTTCCCCTTCTTCTCCAAGCAAAGGTCCCAGCTCCTGCCAGCCCCCATTGAGCTAAGCACGGCACCCAACCTCAGATTCCAAAATCCTTCACCTTCAATGCTTTTGCATGCAGTGGCTTCAAATAACCGTGCATCTTCCAGAGACTGGCTTGAAGAGTGGCCAACCGAAGGCATGTGGCTCTGCATTTAATCCTGATTCCTCGAAATAAAAGTGTTTCCTTTTCAAAAAGGTACCTTGATCTTATAAAGGGAGATCATCAGATCATCCTAATGATAGGACAACACAGCTCTGAGCACTAGCTGGTGACCAATAGAAAATGTCTCTGGGAGGTGCCTTTATTAGAAGAAGCATCATAAGGGTACCAGGAATTTCAGGGTTTTTTAAATGGGTTTTTATGTCAGTAAAAATATGAATTTTCAAAAATTAACGTACCTGATTCTTGGCCAGGCTGATACAGGATGCATTTTAGGGGAGCTTTTACTGTTGGGGTGAAACGTATTGACTCGAAATAAACAGATACACAGTAGTTTGTGTTTGGAATTAAATCATTAAGGACATAACTGAAGTTTCCAATGAAGCTTCCATTTATTGGGGGTTCATGCTGAAAAAGAAAAAAACACTCTAGTAAGAATTTCATTTAGAGGCAGGCTGTAAGAAACTCTTTGGGATTCTGTCTGTTAAATCCTAAACAAGGTCAGAAATAGCACAGGCGTGACAAGGGGAAGAATTTATAAATTCCTTGGGGCAGCCAGCTCACCACAAAACTGCATGTATTTAAACACATGTACATATATCTACCTTATAACCACGAAATCTAGTCTAGCAAATTTGTTTCCTATATGAAGAAAAGTCCCAAGAAGAATGAAGCTCTCTATGATGTAATTTTTACAAAATTATCTCATCTCATTGACAACAAGGATCTAGTTTACACCTTAGAAAGGGCTTTCCCATATACTGACTCCTTTAACTGTCAAAACTATTGCTCCGGTTTAGATCTACAATGTCTCCAAAAGTTCCATGTGCTCCGGCATAGTGCGCTCTGGGGAAGAGACTGAACTGTGCTGGCTCTGACTTCAGTGAGCGGACTAACCCACTGACGAGTCCACTGGCTGAATGAGTTGGTAGGACATAGTCTCTACTGGAATGGAGCAGGCCAAAGAGTGGATTTTGTTTCCGGCACATTCCTCTTGGGTTGTTTCTCACTCTGCTTCCTGGCTTCCATGAGGTGAGCATCTTTCCTTGGCCATGCCCTTCCGCCATGATAGTTCTGCCTCACCACAGCCGAAAGTAACGGAGCCAGTTTACTAGGAACTGAAACCATCAGTCCAAACCAACCTCTCCTTTCAAGTGTTTTGTTGAGGTATTCTGTCAGAGGCACAAGGCTGACTAAACACAACCAGCTACACAGATGAGGAAACTGCAGGTCAGAGTGGCCAAGGAACTTGTCCAGGATCACAGAGCTTGTGGGCAGTAGGACAGAGGCCTATGTCTAAGGCATACTGCCCCTCTTTTCCTCCTGTAGTTCTGTTACAGTTCAAGAAATACAATGATGTACCTGGGTGCAGTAGTGGAGGCCTATAATGTCAACACTTAGGGAGGCTGAGGCAGGAGGACAGCAAGATCAAGTTCTGCCTGGGGAACTCAGCAAGACCCTTCCTCAAATTAAAAAAATAAAAAGGCTGGGGATGTAGCTCGGTGGTAGGACACCACCATGTGAAATCCCCAGTATTAAAATAAAGTTTGATGAATAGCAAGTTTAAAACAAACAAACAAAACCTACCTTTTTATACTGTTTTGCTAGTAAAATTCATTTTACTAGCAATTTTATAGATTAACATTTCTAGCAGTTCAAATGCAGCCTTTGGAAATCCTGTGTTTCTACAAGTTTCTGTCTGGAAGGAGGGGGTGTTATGAAACAGACTCACAAGCCAGCGAATGAAAAGGTCACATGTGGAAATGAACACTGAAAGGAGAAAAGGACAGGAAGGGACTCCCACTGGGGGAGGGGCGCAGTGTGGCCGAGGGGGGACAGCTGGGCACTGAATGAGTCCACAAGGCTGACGTCCTGTTTCGTGGTGCAGATGGAAGGCCCCACCTTGCAGTCCCCCTCTGCTCTATTCTGTATGTCACCAGAGTGTGTGTCCCCCAAGGGTTTGTGTGCTTCAGTTTAATCAGTAGTGCGAGGTAGAAGGGGATGAAACCTGACTGCCTAAGGACTTCAGAGGCAGGGTCTCTGAAAGGCAGCTAGGATGGGGTCATCAGGGTGCAGCCCCACGACTGAACCCTGGTGGCTTTAGAAGAAGAGACTAAAGAGACCAAAAGAGACACCTGTGATCCCTGGCTCTCACCCTGTAATGCTCTGTGCTACACTGAGACTGACAGCCAGGAAGCTATCACTAGATATAACCTCTGGACCCTCAAACCTCAGAACCATGAGCCAAAATACTTCTTTAGAAAGTATGCAGTCTCTGCTACTTTGCTATAGTAACAAGAAACAGACTAAGGCACGCTTTGTCCTCACCACTCCCTACCCCAGGATTGAGACCAGGACCTTTGTACTGAGGTACATTCCTGGCCCTATACTTCTTGAGACAAGGTCTCTTGAAGTCACTAAATTGCCCAGGGTGGGCCTGAACTTGTAATCTTTCTGCCTCAGCCTCCTAGAGTGCTGGGACTACAGTCATATACCACCATGTCTAGCCAAGACATACTTCTTTAGGGATCTGTGCTGCATATTCCACTTCCCGCCCTTATCTGCATAGTCCCTGCTCCCAGCCTAGCCCCCTTCCATGAGCTCTTAAGATCCCACCCACTTTCTGTCACTCTAGGACATGGCTCCAGGGTTCTCCCCCTGCAGGAATATGCTATAATTTCTCCCATACAAAGTCCCTCTGTGATCCTGCCTTCCACTCCAGCTAGCGCTGCATATTCCATCTTCTCTTAATTGAAAAACTTTTCAGAAAAGCTCCAATTATTTTCCTTCCTTTCTTTCTTGAATCCACTCCAACAACACCTTTGCCACATGACTCACCAAAGCAACTCATCTCAGGGGCCTGGTGTCGGGGCACTCAACACACAAGAAGCCAGTGGCTCCCCAGCATGCCTCTTTAGCTAGGAGACCCCCTTTCTTCCAGACTTGGTGAAGCAACTCCAGATCCAAAATCTCCTCCTAAACGCCTTACGCGGACCTCAGATTTAACATGACCCAAACCGAGCTGCACTCATTCACCCTTAACCTCATTTTTCTACCACACTGTGCATCTGATCTACCTGAAAATACTGTTTTCTCCCATTATTTCTGCAAAATAAAGCAGAACTTAGTTGCTTTTCATCACCCTACCCCAGCGAGGGGTCCAAGCTACCATCATCTGTTGCCTGCAACATACCATGGGCTTGTTTTAGTTTCTTGATTTTCTTTAATCTAGAAAAAGTCTATTGACTCCAGTTTTTCCTCTAACCCTGTTGTCAATATTCTAATAAGCATGTCTCATTTCAGAAACAGTGGTCGAAAACACGGTTAGTAGCTCATGCTTTGAACAAGAGACCTGGTTGAAATGTGACAGTGAAGACACCTGACCAGGCTCTGAGTCTCCCCTGTTATTTTTGCTCCCTCTTCCTGGGCTGCTGGTCCTGATTCATAGGGAGAATTTCATACAAAATAATGATAGTAATTACACAATTTGTCACCACTAATCGGATCACCATCCTAACAGGTCTTCACTGGCGTTATAAGTTCCAACTTTGCCCTCTACGGTCTCTTCTTAACACACCAGCCAGGCTGCCGTATCAATCAGTACTTTTTTGTTTTTGTGCTGCTGAGGATTGAATCCGGGTCTTTGTACATGCAAGGCCACAACTCTACCACCAAGCCACATCTCCAGCCACGACAGCTGCCGTTTTAAGCCTCGGGTCCTGCAGTGGCTTCTACCTTACTAGACTCACAAACTCCTCCAAGCTCTGGCTGCTTTACACTCTGATCTCACTTCCCTCTGTTCTCCCCACTTGGTTTTCAGTTGGCTCCCCACTTGGCTCCCCACTCTGCTATTTTCTCAAACCTACCAGGTCTTTTCAAAGACTGAAATGGCCCTGCTCTGACATCTGTTTTTTTTTTTTTTTTTTTTTTTTTTTTTTTTTTTTGGTACTGGGAATTGAACCCAGGACCTCATGCTTACCAAGCAGGCACTGTGCCACTGAGCTAAATCCCTGGTCCTTGTAGATTGGTTTTACTTGCACAAGTTGTATAATTGATAAAAGGCTTAGCAAACCAAATGCTACTATAGCAGTGCAAGCTGGGGTGTGCATTTGGTTGATTTTTGTACTTCTCAGCATTTCCGAGCGATGGCACCAACAAATATCCACCCGTGTCTTCTACCACTGTCAGCCTGAGGTTACACACGCTGGGTTGAGTCCTTAGAAGAAATCAGAAAAGGACAGACCTGCAGGAAACACTGCTGTTTTGCTCTCAGAGCAAAGGACACACGTTTTCATGTGTGGCTCAGCTAAGCTACCCCTTCAAAGGAATCTCACCTTGACGTGCTGGGCTATGGTTGTTCTCCCTGTGTGCATCACTGTCCCGTGTACACCACACACCTCTCTCTTCTGTATCCATCAGTACTGTGCAAGTGGTTTATTCTCTTAAAGACACAGCTACTGGGAAAATCAACTTATTTCTACAGAGAACGAACCACAGTCTTGTTTCCTAGAGGCAGCGAACTGATGGCCAGAACTTTTCATGTGAATTGTTCAACTACACGTTTGTCTGTTTGATTACTTATCTATTTTGAAGAGAATCAAATATACCCATGGCCAACTCTGAACTTTCTGATTGCAGTAAGAGAGACCCCTTACCCTCTTAACATTGTTCTCCAAGTGTTCCTCAATGACAAGAGACGCATGGTCACGTAAGTCTTCCTTATACACCATGGGAGCCAATGATGGAAATGACACTGTCACACTGATGTGGTCTGCAGAGCCAACAACCTCAAAGTCTGGGGGTTCAATAGCCACTGTTTAGGGAACAAAGTCAGAAACAAACCGGACATCAGTCAGTGCTTGCATAACCACAGTGCTTCCTGTGGTAAGATCTAGTTTTATTGCTTTTCTTTTTGGGGAGTATTGGGAATCGAACTCAAGACCTTACACTTAATCAGGCAGGGGCTGTGCCACTGAGCTAAACCCCAGACCCCCTAGAAAGAGGGGGAGAAAAAGAAAGAATTTTCTTTTTTCTCCCTAGCGTTCTAGTTACAGTCTGCTATTTTTATTCTATTTATGAAGAATTGAGGTTAAAAAAACAAGTGCATGATTTGCTTAACATTATTACAGCAAATTGACAGATTTGGGGATGGAATCCAGCAACTTTTTCAGTTTTCAGGCTAGACACAACATTAAAAAGAACTGATTTTCACAGTGTGATAATAATAAATAATAATAGAAAATCATTGTCAAAGATACAGACAGCAATTGTCTTCGCAGTTATTCACTTTTTAATCTATGCTATATAAGCCTAAATGCATAATATTCATGTATAGTTACTAAACTAGGGTATATATTTGTAAATACCTATACATGTACCATATATACACACACACACACACACACACAAAATTAAATCATTCTAGATCACATGGTTTTGTTCATATAATTTCATAAAAATATATTAATGCATATTTACATATTAATATATATTTACCTATATCAAGGGCTAGCCAGTTACAGGCCATGAGTTGGCCTTTTGCACAATCGACAAGCTTAGAATGGTCACTATTTTTTTAAGGATTGCAAACAACAACAACAACAAAAACAAAAACAAAGAAGGAGCATGGGACAGAGATCATATGTGCCACAGAGGCTAAAGCATTTCTTGTCCAGCCCTTTGCAGAAAGACTATGAATCCCTGACTCACACCAAAATTACTCTCAAAAATTACTCATTACCTCTACACAGGTATGGAGCAACCATCTGCCTTGACTGATAGATTTATTCATTCACTCACTTATTTGTGACAGTTTTGTTATATATTACAGCGTGGCCTTGAACTTACTATGTAGCCTGGGCTGGCCTCAAACTCACTGATTCTCCTGCCTCCCACAAGCTGGGATGACAGGCATGCACCACCACGCCCAGTATAGGTATGGAGTGACAATCTGTAAAGAACACTTTTCAGATAGAAAAACTGAGGCTTAGATCAGCAAAGTAACTAGCTCCAGTTACATAGTTAGGAAGAGGCAGGCCCAGCTGTGAGCTTATAGCTCTAAATCTAAAACAGCTCTGAAGACCTTCCTAGTCACAGCAGAGCAAATGATGATCTTTTTGTGGGGAGCGGCTAAGCTGGAGATCGACCGCATAGTAAGGGCTAGAGCAAAGTGGAGTGCCAAAGGAAGCCATGTGAACAAGTTGCTGGGACCAGAGCAAAGCCAGGCCCAGGAACACGAAATGCCAAGGCAACCAGCTGAGCTCTGGCTCGGTGGCACATCAGCACGTGTCTGGCCTTGGCGTTTGCTCTGCTAACTATAGCACACAGAGCTCTGAAAATGTTCCGCTTACCATGTTCTCTACAAAACATTGCGAACTCACATTTTTTTGACTCTGTCATGCACTTCCCCACTTTTTACTATGTATAAAGACACAGTAAAAACGCGCAGGGTTGTCGCTGCCTTTCCATCACAGAGGACAGGTCCCACCCACCCACCCCAGCTTTCTTTTTAGTACGCGTCTATAGTTTTTGCTTAATCTCTCATTGCTCCCTCCCGAACTCCGTTGATCACATGTGACACAGCACTTTCTTTTTAGTCATCTGTCTCAATATTCCATTTATTTCTATTAATACACAATGTTTAAAGTGCATAACGATAATTACCATTATAACTGGAGAAATGCACAAGTACAAAATACACCTCACTTCTTTTTTCCATCCCTTATCCTTCTCTTTCCCTGTTCCTTCAGCCTTTGATCCCCTTCCCATGTGCAGAAGCTCTATTTTCCTCCTGTCTTTTTCCCTTCCCATCCCTCCCCCCTGCTTCTCTTGTTCCTCCATGCATTTGAAAAAGATTTCTCTTCCTTTTTACTTTTCTCTATTTCTCTCTCTCTCTCTCTCTCTCTCTCTCTCTCTCTCTCTCTCTTCCCCCCCTCCTCCCTCCCCCATAGAGACGGTGTATGGCACAGCAGTACTTCACTGTACAGATATCACACTGTCTTTATTCACTGCTGATGGGCATGGAGGCCACTTCCAAGATTTAACTACTGTGAGTTGTGCTGCCAGAGACATGGGTGTACCTGTGTCCCTGTGAGCCTGCGTCATCAGCCTTTAACCCCTGGGGAAGACACTGATGACGATCTTCATGAGGATGGCAAGATGGAGAAATAGAGCTCAACTCACAGTTGGTGGTCATGATGGACCCAGCGCACTGGACCAGCAGTGCTGTCCCTCTGTATGCTTTCACCAGGGGGATGTACATCTCATGCATGTCTTGCCACACATCTGTTAGGTCACAAAATGAGCTGGTGATGTTGGTACAGTTCTTCACAATCTTCATACCTTCTGGTTTACTTTGGAAAGAATAGAAAAGGGAAAACTTTAGCATTTGCAGAATGAGAACCCATTTCTGTGCCTGGCTTTCTCATTCCCTTTAAGGCTCTGCGTGGATATCACAGTATCAAACTGTCTTCCCTACCCGCCTTATTTAAAAACAGAACACTTTATGCTGTCTCAAGCCTCACACTCAATCCCTCTCATTTGTCATTTTTCTGCATGGCATTTACCTCCACCCGCTACCTCACACTTTTGTTTCTTTAGTCATGCTTTTGGAATTTTCATTTGCAGCAGGCAGGGACTTTGATTCATGGAAAGAACCCTTGGTATACTGCAGGTACTCAGGAAATATTTACTGGATGAATGAATGAACCTTGAGCTTTCATGGCAGAGGCATGAGACCGTCCTTCCTCTCCTGTAAGAACAATCACTGCTTTCCTCCAGAGCCCTTCCCTCTCTGCCTGAGGGTCCCATGGTCCAATCCTAAGCCTACCCTGTGCTACTTAGGAACAACACAAACATCGGATCTACCATGCTACAGGAAAGTGTGACCACTCAATGCACAGAGAAACTTTAAGACCCGATCAGGTCAAAGGCAAACTCATGACAGACCCTCCACGGGGCCCCCATCAACAGCTGTAAGCCAAATAAGCAACCGAAGGACACTCCACAGGGATAGAGGATAGAATGGCTTTTCATCTGTGACATCACTAATCCTTGTGACAGCCCCTCAGTGGAAACTTAGCTCAGAGAAGTACAGCTCCATGCCAAGTAGCAAGCTGATTTGTGTGACTCCACCAGACTTTGGACCTACGCTTGTCTTAGACCAGGCCAGGCAGCGTTCTAGTGTTTACCATGCTTCCATGAGTAAAGAAAAGTAGACACACACTATCAATATGCTCGCCAGACCTTTAAACATTCTGATGAATTAAATTAGAGAAAATACTAGAAAAAAAACCAGACCACTGCCAGTGAGGCTCTGACCTGTAGAAACTGGCTTTGGTCATAAATACAAACTTTGTCAAAAATAGTTTGGGATTATTAAAGTATTCCATTGAATTAAAGGTGAATGAGTATTTTGCCTTTGGCTTTTTAAGGTTTGAGGAAGAAATGAAAAGACGGCATACTAGAAAGATAATATATTTAGCAAGAGAAAAATGGAACATCAACCCACCTCATGATGGTGTACTCGAATGCATAGTGAGTTGGCACAATGGAGTGGTTTTTCAACTCCCACAGTAAGATCAATCGGTATTTTCTGAATGTCACCTTGAAATTACAGTGTTCACCTGGATCATCTAAAGAGAACAGGATAAAAACCACTGAATTCAAGAACTCATAGACCTCAAACCCATGTCCCCAGCAGGGGCCTGAGAAACACAGGAAGTCTACTGGGCATGGGGAATAAACTATTATTATTCACTAGTGAGCAACATATTTTCAGGGCACGAAAGTTTAGGAAACAGGAACTCAGGACTTGGTAAACAGAATTTGGACAGAGGGCTTCCGCAGTTCTCACAGGCGCTCAGAAGCCCAGAGGGCCAATGACCCAGGACATTCTGAGCCACGCAGTACCTATCCTCTATCCTCCTTCACTCCATTCCCTCAGCTCAGTGTGCTGCAGGCTTTCCTTTTTCAGGATTTCTCACTGCATTTATTCACATAGCCACTGAGAAGTCACCTGGGTTCCACTATTCCTTTTAGGCATTTAAGCCCCACGAAGGTACTGAAGTAGGTACTATCAACAGACCTATTTTCCAGACTGAGTCTCCAAAACTTGAGTGTACAATATCAACTCAAAAGTTGAGTGTACAATATCATGCCCTGTGGAGTGGTACTGATGACGGACACTCTACTGTGCTACTTGTCAAATTTTGCCTTACAGGGTTAAATTTTAAAAAGCTCAGTGACATCTCGTATGGTTAAGAACCAAGATTTTGCTTTTTGATCTTCAGATCTCACTGCTGATCAGAAGGCTAGGCACACATTCCCTGCTTAGTGAAGTTTTCTGGGCAGATACATATAGGTGGGTAAGAAGCTGAGTTACAAACTGTTTTTCTTTGTCTGGAACCAACAGATGGAGACACGTAAATTAAAGGGAAATCACTTCTGAATTACTTTTTGTTTGGCATAATAGGTGTCTCCTGATGTTCTCTGAGTGAGATTAAGAGTTTTAACGTTCTTTCAAGCGGTTTTGAAAAGGATCTCCAGTATTAATTTCTTGTAATTGTTTTGTGAGGCAATTTTGAAAAACAGAGTTAGCTAATGTTAGCTCCTTTTATACATAAAGGGCTCTGATAAATTAGGAAATAGATGTAAGGTCAGAAGTAAAATCTCTCATACTTAATATGCCTAGATAGCTCCCCCAATACTCTGAATCTTATACAAAATTTAACCAAGCCAAGAACATCTCCTACCAGGGGAAATACGTGGGGAATCCAACGCTAGGCTCACGTACACTAGGAGAAAGAAAAACATGTTAGAGAAGCAACAGTGATTTATCTGGACTCAACTTAAAATGACCACACTAAGTTTGCGTTACTTAAAGCATCAATTATCACATGCATTAATATTACACTGAGATTCTTTGTGCTATTTAAAAAGCTCAAGCAAATGGTTCTTAGGTGACATCAGCACCATCCGTAGCTGGTCCCAGGATTGCATCTGGAATGGACCCAAAGGAAGATCCATTTAGGAACTGACACTAGAACCAGGGTTGGGTTGGCTGAGGAATGTCCTGAGAAGCAGGTACTTTTCTGAAAACTTCCTCAGAACATAAAAAAGCATGTTGCTAGTTAATAATTTTTAAAAGTAAAGACATTTCCCAAGGATGATGGAGGAGAGGAGGGGGTTCATGAGAGGGATGAATGAGTCTTATCTCCTTGGACGGGTGGGTGGGGACATTTGTTTTCTGGATGTCACAATGACTCAGGGGTGTGTGTGAATTTCCTGGAAGTTTTAGAAGGTGGACATCGAGGATGCTGGACATTGTTCAGTACATGAACAGTGTGCCCACGACAGCTGCCCCACTCGTCTGTCTCTGCTGTTGATAAATTACGTAAGAGATGACTTTGATACTGACACTAAATCAAAAGGAAGGCAGAGAAGAGACATGAATGAACAGTACTGCAGAAAAAAGGTGGCTAATAAATAAAATGCAGAAACTGAAGTTCTGGGGGCCTTTTCATCTGGGTGGCTTTGGTAAGAGATAAGGGTTTGGCCTCCTCCAGATACACTAGTACGTGTAGTAAAAACAGAAATTACTCTTAAAATTAACGTACAAGGATGGTCGCCAATATTACAGACTTGTATGTTATTTTTGCTTTTCTGTTCGTCTTCCTAAAATTAACAGCAGGTAAAGACCCATACTTAATTCAAGGCATCAATCAGCCTTGGTTTCCTAGCTACTGGCCCTTGGACACCTACATTAAGTGGGCTGATCTGGGTCCTGCATCAGTCAGGGCATCAGTTTGCTGCTTTGCACCAGAGCTCTGGCTGAGGCTAACACGGGTTCCCTCCTCCGTGGCCAGGGTAAGGTAATACTTACCCACGAGGCACAGGGTAAGCAATCGGATGGCCCAGGCACGGTGGCTTGAAAGCATCATTGTCAGTGTTTTAGTCTTTTCCTTACTTCCACATCTGAAAAAAAATCAGTATTAGGATATCAAAATCCTGAAGTGTCTAATAAGACTGTAAAAATAAAAATGGAATGAAGAAAAGACCCCAAGAAATAGGAAAATTCCCAATGGAGGCCTTCCCTTCCCTCCCAGGAGCACGGCCAGAGGCTCAAACAGCTTCCTGTACCAATCCCCTACCCAGCAAGTACAAGTGTTAAACACAACCTCTGAACAAGTAACAATCACTGGGCTAAAAAATAAATGGAAACGCATAAAAAGCTAAACAGTGAAGAGTCTTGTTTCCATTGAGAAGGTCCTTTCTTTATTGATTTTGTTGAATATTTTGAGTGTCTTTATGCACAAGGGTAAAAAATACATGTATGCTTATTTCTTTCCTCGTGTAGACAAGAGATAGCAGGCTGCGTCCCTGTTTTATTTCATTTTTTTCTACTTAAAAATTTATTTGCGAGTTTTCTCCCCATACCTGATCAGAAAGAGAAATTTCTTGTTTTTGTTTTTTAAATAGTTGCAGAGTGAAATAAACAGGACCACATACATAAATACCACATTGTTTCTCTGGAGTGAGAAACCAAAAGTGTAACTAAAGAACTAAATGTATATATGTATCGTCAAATAGGAAGAAAATGTTCAAATGGGGAGGCAAACAAGGGAGAAGGAAAGAGGGAAATTGTTAAAAAAAAAAGTCAGAAAACAAGAAAAACATGGAAGAAAAGTTTTTTTGTTGGTCTTTTTGAGACAAGGTCTCACTCTGCAGTTGAGGCCAGCCTTGAGCTCACTTTGTGAACTAGGCTGGTCTGGAACTCACAATGATGCCTCTGCCTCAGGAAAAAAGCTTTTGTAAATGGGGAGGGGAGGAGGGGTTGGAGGGAAGGTAGGAGGAATGGGAAAAATAAAACAAGCTATATCACTTACAGGTACAAATTCTCTGGGACGACTGTGATGATTACGGATATCTAAAATGCACCAATAAAATGCGATTTTAAGAAACCGTAATCCCCAGCACCAGGGTAGAGAGGCAATGACGTCATCAGCACTCTACCTCCCCCCAGCGGGTTAACAATGGGTGGGGGGGCACGCGGAGGCTCACGACTGAGGAAGCCAGTTCGGTCCTCTCTTACTCCCTCGCCATGCGACTACTCTGTGATGCAACGCCAAGGTCCTCACTAGACCTGGTTCCTCAATCGCGGGCTCGCCAGCCCCCAGATCCGTGACCCCGTGATATCTGTTCACTAGAGATCACCAGGTTATCCGCGGTGCTGTTACCGCAGCACACGATGGACCAGGACCTAAGCAAGGGGCCTCACAGCGACGGTACCTTCACCACACTCACGGTACCAGCAGAAAACTGCACTTTCCTGTTTCACAACACCTGTTATACAGGCTGTTCCCTATTTACACTTTCGGTTTCTGACACCAGAGAAACAATGCAGTATTTACACGTGTGTCCGGTTTATTTCACTTAGGAGTACGGTCTCGAAGTGCATCCATTTTCCTATTAATGTCTCGAGGGTTTCCTTCTTATGGCAGAGTAGTTCTTTGTGGCCATTGTATAAAAGCACTACATGTCCTTTAGAATCTTTAGAATATTTTCAGAAAGACGTTATTTAATCAAGGGGCATTTATAAATGCGTGGACATATCTCAAGGGAGCATGCAGTATCTCAAAATAACCAAAGGGGGCGCCATTACCACTCTGGGCTTGAAAGGCAAAAGAGAGGACAGCAACCCTGGAATGTGACAGTGGGGAATCCAGTGTGAAGACCTGCGACGGAGGGAAATGACACCACATGCGCAAGGTGACTGTGCAGGGAGGGAGCTGCGGAATAAACATCCCTGTGTTTCCATGCCTCCTCTAAGTTGGGACTTCCCGTTGGTTAAACCCAACCGGAAGCCACATGGCAAGGGGGCTGTGTCCCTACAAGTCAAATGCCCAGGGCACAGTACAGGGCAGGGAAGGTGAAGGTGAGTACGCAGGGGCAGACAAAAGGGACCTGGCAACTGGACTAAGCACTTGTCATTCGGTAGAAACTGCCCATCCTGCAGGAGGTACCAGGTTACAACAGTACCCATGACATGCCAGCGCTTTGGTTCCCCACAGCCTCTACATAGAGATGTCTTGGATTTTCATCAAATTCATAAACGAAGTTATTTCCACCCCAATATTAAATTTGCACCTCTCGTCTTCTGAATGAGACTGAGCATCTTTTCATATTTATGGGCTCCTTATACTTCTTTCCTGCTAAAAGTCTGCTCCTCCCTTTGTCCATTTTTGTACTGAGTTGTGCTGGTTTGTACTGATTTGCAGGAAACATTTGTATGCATGAGGGAAACTGGCCCCTCGTGATATGAACCATGTGTCTTCTCTGTATGTCATTTTCCCTGTCATCTGCTTGTGCTTTTAAAACTACTCAGAAATTTCTGGGTTTCAGGTTTTCAGATTTCAAGATATAATTGGCATCATTTTGATATCTGTGGGTTCTGCCCCAGTAGATTCAAAGAACTATAGGTCAAAACTATTAGAAAAACTGGCATCTGTGGTGAGCATGTACAGATCTTTGCAGCCTTGACGTTATTTCCTAAACAATGCTGCATAAACAATAGCGCCTGTTTATGTAGCCCTCACCTTGAATTAGGGCTCTGTGTGATCTAGAGTTAATGTAGAGGCCACGCCATGATGTGGGTAAGTCTCAGGCAGACGCCACACCATGGTTGGAAGGAACTTGAACAACTAGAGTTTTGTACCCATAGCAGTAGGGCGGGGGTTGGGTGGGAAATCCCCAAAAACCCGGAGAGATGACACTGTTTTCTTGCTCAACTTCCGATTTTCAGTCTAAGAAAGAGAGCCATCCCCACTCCAAGGCAGATAAGACCTTTGTTTTCTTTCTTTCTTTCTTTTTTTTTTTTTTTTGCAGGGGGGGCGGTAACTGGGTCTTTGCACAGAGCTACATCCCCAGTCCTTTTTCTTTTCTATTTTCAGGCAGGGGCTTGCTATGTGGCTGAGAATATAAATATAAACTTGTGATCCCCCTGCCTAAGCCTCCTGAGTAGCTAGAATTAGTGTGCACCATCATGCCCAGCTGAAGAAGAATTTTAAGGCACCCTCATTGGTCTTGGTTTTTTTTCCTCTGCCTCTCTCATATCTTTTGTCCATCCAAGCAACTGGGTTCTATAGATTGAGTGTTCTTCAGTTCCCCCAAATACTGAGGCAGTGTGAAACCAGCAAATCAAACTAGTAAAACTAATAAAAGACCAAGAAACAGCAGATTGAGCTCAAGCTACAAACCACCTGAAAAGTCCTCCTGACTGCCACGGTGACAGGTCTTACCCACAATATTGTTTTGGAGAAACCCAGGAGACTTCAAGTCAACATTTCTGTCTCTTCTACACTAATGGCCAATACATGAAAAAAATGTTCAACATGGCTGGCTATTCAAGAAATGCTAATTAAAACAACACTGAGATTCTATCTCACCCCAGAAAGAATGGCTATCCTCAAGAATCAACCAGTAAGAAATGCTGGAGGGGCTGTGGGAAAGAAGGAACCCTTTTAGGCTGTTGGTGGGATTGCAAACCAGTATAACCACTATGAAATCAAATTCCATTTGACTGGGGTATTTACCCTCTAGGTATCTTCCCAAAAGAGTTAAAGTCATCTTAATTTAGAGATACATACATACTTATATTTATAGCAGCACAATTCATAATAGCTAAATCTTGAAAGCATCCATCAACAGATGAGTAGAAAATATGAAAACAATATGCACAATGCAGTATAAGGGTTGCATGTTTGAAACCCAGGGCCCTAGACACAGGGGCCCTCCAGATTGCAAATTCACATCAGAGGTGATACCCTTACACCCGAACATTTGCCTTGTGCCCTTGGTCGCTCTGGTGTCCCTTCAGTGGCTTAGGAGTCACATACACACACACGCACATGCACACACACACACACACACGCACAGACACACACGCAGGCACAGACACACACATGCACACACGCAACGTAATTCCCTCTGGGAGTAGTGATGCATGATTGTAATCTCAGCACTCAGGAGGCTGGAGCAAGCAGATCACTGCATTCTGAGACCAGCTTGAACTAAATGGAGAGACCCTGCCTCCAAAAAGCAAAAAACAAACCACCAAACAAAAAATGAAACCAAACTGTCCCTCTGGCCCTCCTCTCCTTGCTGTGTTCCTGGTGACCCATACTCTACTTGGAACCCACTGTCTAATAATCAAACTCATGCTTGTTTGAGAAATCTAATTTCCAGTCCCGCTTGAATCCCAGCCTTGCTCCCTAACATCCTCCTGACTACAGATAGTACAGTGTCCCTAAAACAGCACTCAGTGTCTCAGCTCTGAAGCCAGGGCCATCTTTCCTCCCAAGCTCTGCATGTAGAAGGTTCCACACTTGGTTTAATGCTTTCCTGACGCAGTCTTAAAATTTCCCATACTTTAATCTTTGCATCTGTGGTTTATTGGTGTTGTCTGCTAGAACGGCACACGGGCCAGGCGGGTGCCTTGGCTCTCACGTGGATGCTCCCCACAGCGGGATGGGCTCTCTGCCCTGTGGTTGCTGCTGCCTTTTGGCTGGGGCCAGCCGGGTCACACTGGCAGAGAAACTCCCCTGCCATTGCCTGGGAGCTTGGCACAGGCCGATGCTCGCTGCATTGCTGGGTAGGCGGTGAATAATGAACTGAACTTGGAAATGTGATACAAATCCAATCATGCAACTCTTCCCAGAAATTAAAGCAAAATGCCAATGTGTGCAAAGGAGAAAATAACAATCACCCTTACTTCCACCATCTGGCACCAATCATTAACACCTTGGTAGATCTGTTTCTGGTTTATTTTGCACACGTCTTTCCTGTCTGTAAAAATTCAACATGCTCATTTTTTAAAAAATGAGAAGAACATATAAAAGTACATCTCAAAATCCAGATATCACCATTAATATTAAGTAAACATGCTGGATGTAGAGGTGCATGCCTGTAATCCCAAG